TATATATATATATATATATATATATATAATATAATTTCATTTTGTAGGGGCATTTACATATATATCCCATAATTCCTCTATTTATGTATCTAACACCTGAACTTTACAATTTACCTTTATACCGCTCAAATCTGTCATATCACATCAAAAACATCACTATATTAATTTTTTAAATGTGAAATACGGTTTTTCATGCACAAATAAGGTGTCAAATAAAAAAAAATTTGAAATTTAGGTGTTAGATATATAAATATGAGGAATTAAGTGGTATATATGTAAATCTTCCTACAAATAAATTTCATATATATACATCAACTCAAGGAAATCAATGGAATTGGCACACATACATAATTAGAGATTTTATATGGGTTTAAAATGCAAAACAAGGCACAAATCAAAATAAATCAATCAATGGGTCAATCTTTTTTACACAATCAATTGAAAGCCATTAAATGAAAGAAGAAGGAAAAAAATGTCGAATTAAATTCCATAACATGAACAAAAACCTCACATTGTTATGGAACAAAGGTCATGATATATAGTCTGGATGTTAGGCCTCTCATTTACAGGAAGAATACATTTTAGTGACACCGCAAGGAGCTCATCCATCACCCTCGGAGCTTCCTCCAAGCCGGCGATGTCTCGATCGAAACAATCCGTTCCCCGCCCTTCTCTCGTACACATTTGTACCCAATCGGTGAGGTCGACGGCGCCGGAATGGCCGGAAATTATATCGCCCGCACTCTTCCGAGTGAGCAACTCCATCAACACCACCCCGAAGGAGTACACGTCGGCCTTAAAAGACGGCGACGGCCTGTCGGCGGACAATTCCGGAGCCCGATAACCGAGGGCTCCGAGATTCAAGATTTGTTCGGCGAGGCCGCCGGGGGTTAGGAGGCGGTGGAGGCCGTAATCGGTGAGCTTTGGTGTGAGATCCGGACCGGTGAGAAATATGTTGGTCGGTTTTAGGTTACCATGCGGCAATCCTCGGTCGTGATGAAGATGGCACAAGCATCCGGCGATATCGATGGCTACTTTGAGCCTCTGGTTGACAGATAATCGGGAGTATCGGCGCGGCGTCGACTCTGCGTAGAGAGTAAATGTCAGACGAAACAGATCACTGAGTGACATATTGTGTGGCAATCAAGCTAGGAGAGAAATTCACATGACTCAAATAATTCACATTTAGATATGTTCAATAT